TCACTCAGCTCACCCTCGTGAACATGATGAGCTTGTCAAGGACCAGAATCGCGATGGTCTCAAATTTAATGTAAGTGCAGCTTACCAAAACTGTGTCAGTGGAGAGGTGGCTGTTTCCCGGCCCGCCTCTTGGAGGTATCACCAGCAATAAAAGCCAAGTAACAAGAGGAGAGCTGGCTGAAATATCATGTGGATGTCGCTGCTGGCGAAGAGATCCACGTACATGAGATCTTGTTGAATACACACAAGAACGACACGAAAGTTGCAGGATCATAGCCGGCTTCAGCGGAACGTCAGGTCTCAAAACGTAACAGCAGGGAGGTAACCTAGGCCGACCCGCTAACGGCCCGAGAGAGAACGTATCGTAACAGCAGCACCTGATCACAGGCTGAACTTTCAGAGCAAATAAGCCAGCTCAATAACTGCCAGCAGGTACCATTGCAGAGCGAGTGCTAAGGAAGGAATAGGCTCGCGGCTGTGCTCGCGCCTAGCCAGATACAGTAAAGTAAAACTGCAAACTTGATGATTTTACATGGTTACCACGTCACCACTGATGGTCACCATCGTTGCCTATCATTGCAATACTTTTCACCATCAACGTCACAACTCCAAAACGCTTACCTTAAGCACGTCAAGTGCACGAGCTGGTGTAACATCAAACTCGTTAGAGAACGACATCCTCCGAGGTTTCGTGGCAGGAACAGCGAGTAGGAACCGTGTACAGCTGTCAACAGCAAAGCAGAAAGCTCTTCGTTGGTACCAACCTTCTGCAATACCCTGGCACCCCAACGGACGGACGCGGAAGAATGTGAAGTCTGCTCCACATGCATATAATGGTTTCCCCGCGCACAGGCACGCAAAACACAAATGAAGGCACTAGGCACATGCACACACAAATGGCTTCCAGAATAGGCTCCTCTTGCGTGTACAAGTGTCTTAGCAGAGTCCATTGCAATTGTAAACGACGCTTTTTGGGCGGCCCTATGCAACTCGCTCAGCAGCAACTCCGAAAGAACTCAGGTCTGTGAGTTAACTGTGTAACAGCGTGCTTCTAGGAGTGTCTTGCACGTTGGCAACCTCACTAGGGTACTTAGTCCCTACTACAACCGGAACCCCGATACCACAACCAAAAGTCTTCTACTGCGACGCTACTACAACTCAGCAGTTATATACACAAACAGGGTCCCTACTACAACTGGAATGTTCTTCTTTGATTAGTATGGGGTTGGAGGAGCAGTATTCCATTGTTAAAGGATCTGTTGGAGCCTTGTGTAGCACTTTTCCGCAAACAATGCTTGCACGATGGGGTTCTTATGTTCAGGGTAAAGGACATTGGTTGCGGGCCGCAACGGCGCACGCGGTGGAGCGCGACCTTCGTTTCGACGCTCCCGCTGTGCTTTCGCGTGCTCCCGCTGTGGTTTCGCACGAATTTCCTTGCGTTTATATTTTTGGTCCGTGGGAGTGTCGGTGATTTTTCGTCGGACTCTTCTGGCCTCCTTTGGCCTCTTCCGGCCCTCCTCACTGTTTGGGGTCTACCCCGGCATAATCGAATGTTTTGTAGTGTGTACAGGTTATTTAAGGCATCGTTACAAGCTTTACGAAAGGGTTTTTAGACCTCTGGGTTCAAGGTCTTGGGGTCGTGGGGCTGGATTGCCCGTACTCCTTTAGACTTGTTGTTCCTCACTGCTCCTAAACCCCTTCGGATTTCAGGGCTTCAGGGCACCCTTTCTGACGGGGTAGTAAACATTCGGGCGCGACTCAAACCTTCAATAGCATAGAGGCCCATCTTTAGTACGAGGTCTTACTTGTTCATTATGAGTATTTAGTAGATCGTAGCATCTGGACGAAGAACGGTATACTGCAACTACCAAAAATGAATGAATTTCCTTGAAGGTTGACCATCAGATTGGAAACATGCAAAATATTGCGAAATCTAAGCTTGTTAGCTGATTGTGATGATATGGTGGTTTCGGGTTTTGCCCAAATCCAGGCCCGGTTGCAGTATAGGGCTTCAGGTTGTGGTATCGGGCTTCCGGTTGTAGTAGGGACTAGTCGCGGGGGGAGGGGGGCGGCCACGGAGCGCGTGACCAAATATTATGGTGCCCCCCTGGTATGCCCCCGCCCCCGGCCCCCCGCTAATCACACGTCACCGCGAAACCAACCCACAACACATGGAATCACAGGACAGGGAACCACAGGGGCGTGGGTTATCCGACAGAGGTCCCGGGGGATACCATGGGGTGGGGGAGGGGGAGGGGGCCTTGCAGTGCTGAGCGTCGCCGTGTAGTGGGCACCCCACCCCCACCCCCATCTGCCAAGCAAGGCCTCTCATCCGAGCAAACAGCCACGGGGATGATGCCGTCTGCATCATCATCCTCGCAACTGTCGACGATTTCTCGGAACTCTCGCGCAATCTTCACAACTTTGTGCCGTGAATCGCGCAACCCCCCGCCCCTCCCTGCAAATGAGAATCATGGCGATGATGCTGTGGACATTGTGGACAATCATGCTCGTGTGCTTCTTGCATGCTGGTGTTCGGACAGTGACCGCTCGTGGTGCCATTGCTCTTATGCTGTTCTGGTCTAGGTACCGCATGTTAGTTGGTTTAGTTTACTTGAAAAGCGTGCTTGGCTTGATGTTTTTCGTAGCTTGTACCGAACGGTTGTCATTCTATGCTAACTTTCGGCTGGGTTCGTGAACAAAAAAGGCCTGAGCATGTGTTTGAATGACTTTCATGTGCGACTCTTGAGCAAGGGACGGCACGAGAGTGCCGAGGGGATCATGATTACCATCTTCGTCATCATCGTCATGATCATCATTATCATCGGCTTTGGCGGACTTGAGTGGAACGGTATCATATCCTAAGGCCCAGATCCCTAGCAACCAGACGCCCAACAAGCAATAGTCACAACAAAATCCATAACCACAGGGGTGAGGGGTAGCACAGGGACCACAAGGGGATGGGACGAGGGATACCACGGGGTGGAGGGGGGCGGCCTACGCTGCACCATAAATCGCAGAACAACCGTCGCGCAGCCACACAGCAGCATTCACAAATGCCCCTGATTCTAGACAGGACTGTCGAGGAACCTCAGCTGCAGCCAGCTCATTGTCTTGCTCCGTGTCTTTCTGCTCCAGGTCTTTCTCGTTCTGGTCCTTGTCTGCTGCCGTGCCTCGATTCAAGCAGAAGACAGCACGACCCTCTGCAATGCTGAGCAAGTGCAGACTCTACGATGTGCCACCAACTTCCACCAGCGATCAGGAGTGATGCAGCGGAGCTGGGACAGCAAGAACATACGAGGAAGAGAGGTCTTCAGTAGCTCTGGCCCTCCCGGCGAGCCTGGCTGCCCGACTTCATCGACGAGAACTGTTGGAAGGGTCGCATACCGCATCAAACCCCGAACCCCAGCCATCCAACTTTCACGAACTCGCGCTCATCTGCGCAGAATCTCTTCACCCTCAACACGTCCCACATCACTTGACAAGCGGAAGGCACCTGCCAAAAGCACCGAGAAGGCCGAAAGCAGAAAGTTACAATGCAGAAGCTAAGCCTCAGGCAAAACGAATCCTCGAAAACAAAGCAACCGTGGGTTACAGACAAATGTGTAGTGAAAGCAGGCATGTGTTTGTATCATCGAACGGGACGATTATCAAAACCGTCGTCCAGGACAAGGGAAAAGCGAAAATCAAAGTTGGCACCAATCCGAAGCCGATCAGAAGCCACAAGGGGGCGAATCACAGAACAGTTGATCAGATCTCTTGATCCTTTGCGGTACACACGCCGCGAACGGCACAGATCAGGAGCCTGCTTCAGCACCATTGTTTTCGTCGTGTAGCTGGGGCCCAACTTCACCAAACACTGTAATGAAAGGCCAAGCAACGCTTCTTCTGCTCCCTCTTTTGCTCTTTTCGTTTCTCTTTCTTCTTGTCCTTCCTCGGTACGTGAGACAGTAAGCTGGACCAAGTTTCGTCTGGTGACTGTCTTCACCAACGGATTGTCGCGCAAGATTGGGTTCTGAGATGGGGGCTTGCTCTTCACCTTTTCATCCTTGTCCTCTTTCACTTTCTCCTGCACTCAGCTTCAATGTTGAGTGCTCGCTAGCAGCAAGCACCGACACGAGGATGCAGGCAGCCCCAGGTTTGAAGGAGCTCCTCTTTATCTTTCGATTTGCCAAAGGAAAGACCAGCCAGCATGGCCTTCGGCACTCACACACCTCCTGCACGTGATGGTCAGCTTTTGCTTGATTTAGCTCTTCGAGTCTGTTCTTGCTGGCTGCACATTCTCGTCGATGTCGATCCCGAAACCACCACAACCGGGTGCTTAAGCTCACGACCTCAGACCCTGTGCTGCAAGGTACTGTTCAAGTTTTCCAGCCGTTCGAGCTGCGCGGGTGCCTGTTCCCGACATATTGCCTGTGAACCTCGCGGTGTTGAACCGCGAGGCCACCAGAATCTGTCACAGGTTGTGCTTTGTAAGCGTGATCGTGTTGCGGTCTCTGGCAAAGCTCCCTTTACTCGCAAACTCCTGAACTCCGAACATCTCACAGCGTCACAGCCTGTAGGCCTCCAACCCGAACAGCCCAAAACCCACGCTCCTCGACGTCTGGATCTTTGGGCAGGCGCAATGCGGTGGACAGCACCACAGCTCCCAACGCCGCGCTGGCACATGGCTACAACGTGGCTACACTGTGGCCATGGCTGGTGCTCAAAGGTTTCGGGGTCGGTGCAGGGTGCTGGATCAGGGCAGCCTGAAGCGTGGCGTTGAGGTTGGGAGTCTGACTTTTTGGGCTTGGGGTTCAAGTCTAAAGCTCGGAGCATGAAGTGGATCTAACAGAGGCTGGAACGAAGTGGCATGGGAGTGGAGATGAGTGGAGTGGAGTCGGTTGACTGCTTCTGGGATCTGCGGGTGTGTTAAGCATAGGCGGCTTCAAATTCGCCGCGGCGGAAAGGGATCTCATTCTAGGTCCGGGATTCGACAAGCCAGAAGCAAGCGTTATCTCCTCCCGATGCCGTGGCTCATGGAGAACGGGTTCCCGCGGAACGAAGAACCTGAGATGCTCCCAGTGACTTCGACAGCTGAGCGCTGTGTTCTGAAGGCTCCGGCGGCTCGAAGTGCAAACTCGCTCCCATCTCGTCGCCGGAGCCTGTGCACTCACTGCAAATGCAGGCTCTTGACTTCTGCCCTCTGATCACAGCCACGAAAAGAGGTGCAAAAACGGCATGGTGCTGCTGGCTTGCAGCAGGTAGAAATACTGTCAGAAGACCTGAAAGAAACTTCAGACATGCCCCGGCTTTAAAACTAGAAAGGGAGGAAAGGACGGAGGACAGCGGTGGACGGCAATCGTCTTCGCTGAGGGATCAGCGAGGCCTGGCCCTGCATGCCCTTTTGTGTTCTCACGCGATTCTGAGGAGGTGCTGCTCCTTCCACGACCGGCGAGTTCGTTGTTTTGGGAGTTTCGATCTCCTCCCACGAGTACTGCGCTGCCGACAGAATGCATGCCTACTGATTTGAGGCTCAGAGGGATTGATTTTGCAGATCTAATCGAGAAAGGTATTCTGTGTGCCGTGGTGCTTGAAACCAACACATGTAATTCGTGTGACCGGAGCTTCTAAGCATTGACCGCTTCGTGCGACGGGCTTGGTACTCCAGATACAGAAAGTCACGTCCCGTGACCAGTATCAACCTAGTTTCTACTATACGTGGCCACTGTGCCGGGTCTCGAGCATCACGCTCCCCACACAAAACGAACACAAAACGCATCTACAGCAACAACGGTGGTGTACACACTGGCCACGAGGAACAGGAACACAGTGCTGCTTTTTGACAAGCATGCATTCTGCAAAGAATATCGTGTCGGCAAGTCTGCCCTGGCGCATCATGTAGATAGCAACGCGACATGGTCAGGGTGGCAACGCGTCCAGGTCCGCCCATATGCTTTCGGCCAAGAACAATGTCCAAGAAGCGAAGGGAACAGTCCTAGACACTTTTGGAAGTTCAAGCCGGATATGCAAGAGAACGCTGCAAATCAACTTTGACGGCCGTTTCCGTGCTCTTTCGGTGCGATGCAGTGCGAAGAGGTGCTACTGTCCGGGCCGAGGTTTGATTCCACGAGCACAGGCGCACCGTGCCACCAGACTGACCTACATCGAGAAAGCCTCTGGTATCGAAGGCTGGCATGCTCCGAGTCGGCAGCCCGACCTCAAGCAGTGCTGCCCAAAATGCCCGGCATGCCACAGCTTGAGCAAACATACGCTGCATTGCACCCTGAGTGTGTGTGCCACTTTGGGTCGGCGCTCCTCGAAACCGATGACCACCTGCTGTACAAACTCGAGCCGATACTTGCAAAACTCAATCGATCAATGCCCTGGCTTCGCCCGGCCCCCGCCTCCTTGGTGTGGGGGTGGCTACAGAGGTCTTCCGGCGTCTGACCCCTGAAGCGAAACAGGATCGGTGGTCCAGCAGTACGGAATGGAGCGAAAGCTCAAAATTCCTTTGCCTGGATGTCTTGCTGGACTTCGCCCCTGCTTGCAGCAGGTAGAAAGACACATCCTGCCCGGCCGACTCTGGGTATCTGCTGGGCGCACGTGCTATGCGTTGCTGCTGCTTGCGTGCAGGAAACTCTTGTAGACGCAAACTACGCACGAACATTCAAAGATGTGAACTGCAGTCCGCCTGGCGGCCCATGCAGCTGGCCACGTGCAGCGGTGTCCATCCAGCGCCTCAGTAGCCGGCTACCATTAAGCGGAGACACTGTCAGAAACTCTCGATCCTCTGCTACAGGCATTACGAGATCATGCTCTTTCGTGCATTTCTTCCTGCTCCTGCACTGTGGCAGTTAGTCTATCCCGAGAAATTGAGAAGAGCCAACGTCTCTAGGATCTCCTTGATCACGAACCGAACCTCCAGGAACCTGAATCAGCATGAGGGCCTTCGAACAGGAACATCCGTGAGCACCTCTTGGAGGATAATGCTGGCAATCCATCACCCCGAATATGAGCCCCTGATGCAAGGGCCCGCACAATCGACGGCATTAACATCAGTCGAACGAAGGACCAAGTCCTCGAAATCGGATGACACTCGAAAGCAATCGGCATCTGCGACCCATGACAAAACAAAGTCCTTGACAACTTGATAGCTGCCAGCTCTGGCAGCCGCGTGTAGTAGGCTCGTACCGTTGCTGTCGCAGGCCTGCAAGAAGCCGTCCACTCGCCGTGACAGTGGTGCGCATTTTCCAAGGGAGTCTGGCAACACCTTCGGATTGGCGCCATAAACGAAGCACCATCGAAGGCCGGCCAAGTTGGATGAGCCTAGCAGTCGTGGCAAACGACCAGGCGAACTCAAGCCTCATCGACTGGCCTGCAAATCTGAAGCTGACCCGGTCCTGGGAGCAGCTGTGCATCGGGTACTGGTACTGGCAGTGACTTGCGAAACTGAACTCAAAAAGCCAACGACTCTTTGCCACGCTCTGTCTGAAGCGCGCGTGGCCTACAACCACGACTCTGAGGCAAGTGCCATTTCGCTGAGAGACGCTGATGTCAACGTGTCTTCGAAGAAGGCACCAGCCGGGTCGCAGCTGAAGTCTGTTTCTAGCTCGTCCAGGCCGCATGGCTTCCTCCACGCAGCAGCAGGGCAACCAAGACCACGAGCAATTCACGTCTGCTCACCGTGCTCGGACCCGCAGAAGCACAGGACTGACATGGCATGTCCCGTGTGTAAGAACTCTGATGACAGTGCAGGTCGTGCGAGACGCACTCCGTGGCATTGGACGGCACCGATCCTTTTGGAAAAGACTTGCAGTATGCCCGTAAGATGCTGCAAGCCAGCGACCCCGAGTCCCAACCCACACCAGAATCGATTGTTCGACCCACAATACAGACATGAAACGAGAAGCGTGAAGATCGTTGTTCTGCCTTCTGTGTGCCTTTATGTCCCCGTGTTTGTTCCTCTTGCTGCGCTGCCCTGAGTGCCGGGGAGGAGGGCATGTAGGCACTTGGGCATACGCATCAGTCAGTTTATGCACGTCTCTTCACAAGTCAGCTTGCAGAACCTACACAAGAGGCCCTCGTTCTAGTCGACTCTGTGCTGCTAAGATCTATCACATTATTTTATATTGAACTGACTAGGCCACATTGTCTTGCATTTTGTGCTGTCATACTCATATTCCGGTATAGTCTACTTCAATCTACCAAAATATGTTACATCAACTGTGTACATTTTACTGTGCTTTGCGATATTGCATTTTAGTACGTTATATCCTACTATAACGTCTTATATCACGGTGTCTTATATTGTATTCGAGTAGTCTAGCATATCATACTGTAATGAGATATCTTATAAAGCATGACACTATGTGAGGCTACGCTATATGACATTATATTCTATTATGTTTATGTTATATATCATTACATATATTATACTATACCTTAATGTAATACCATGTGTGATGTTATGTTATATCTTTATAAACACCACATACTATCTTCTGTCATGTTGCATGATAGTACAAGAAATTAAAAGGCTGGAAAATGTTGTCTATGGTGAGGTACTGCATGACAAAATATTCGGCTACACGGTGCAAGGGTTACCTATCATATGATATGATATCACTTTACAACATCTTATGTTTTACTCTGTATATGTAAAGGTATGTGTGTGTATATCGCATGTTTAAACAATGTTATTTCATATTACCGTTATAGTATACTGCTGCAATCTACCCTATCTTATGCTACTGTGGATATTCAAACCAGATGATATTACGTTGTAATATATGTTATTCCAACGGCGTATACTTTATTTCGTTGTCTCGTTTCCTCAACTCTTTCGCACTAGACTACATTGCATCGAACCCAAAGAGCTCCGTACGTGACATCTGCAACATCACAAACAATAGGTCAATGTCGGTCAACCGTGGCATGGCCAACGGCGCACTAAGGTTCGGCAAAGAACCAAATGCTTGTTTGATGCTAGTAGCTCGTTTGTCTTCTTGCCAGGAAAAGCACGCTCCACTTTAAGGTCCACGGTTTAAAGCTAGGCAGGAGGGCGAAGCGGGCAACCCGAGCATCGGTGAAAGCATCGCAGGGAAGGGACGTTTAGGGCCGGGGCCGAGGTCTGCAAGCACAACGCTAACGGTTTAATGCTAGGGTTGCAGTCCTTTGCTAAAGTGTTGCGCAGCAGTGCCGGCGAAGTGAACAATCATGTGAGGCATGCTGTGCTCCCGAAGCCTTTGTGGTTTTACATTGACCCAGCCCAAGAGGCAATTAAGCCTGCACATGCTCCGTCCTGCAGAAGAATGCACGCGAGTCCTGCAAGCGGCTCTCTCCAGTCCAACAGAGACCAGTTTACATGCTGCACGTAAGACCACGAGAAGGCTCACTTGGATGCTGCGATGTTGGTCCTGACGATCGTCGATGATGCTGCCCTCTTTCGCACAGCAGCCACATGTGAGCTGAGCAGGGGCGAACAACAGTTGTCAAGGACAGCCGCCGAGCGAAATCAGTCGGTTAGATTAAATTATGGCACACAGTTTACTCACTCATGCCGGTGTCTGCCGTCAGATCCAAACGGGCATAGACCCGCACTGCTTTTGGATGTCAAGATCCGCAGGATCTTGGGCCACGCATTGACGATGATGTCAGATGCAGGTTTTTCGCTTCCCCCTCGTGCCTGTCCGCCCATATGCGAGAGTTCTACAAGGACGTCAGAATCATCTGTGCATCTTGTGCCGACTTGTGCCTGTTGTATCCTGCTTTGTCTTGCATTCTACGTCTGAAAACTCTGGAGCTGCGCACATGCTCATCTGCCAGCTCCAACTGCTTGCCATACCGTGCCATCATGACTTGTCAGAACAAGCTAGATTCTGCCTTCTTACGGCTGGCAGGAACAAACTCTGTCCCATGTGATTTGAGCCACCATGCAAGGAAATAGCAGGGCCAACAGAATCAAATCATCTCCAATCTGGAGCAGCGGCTGTTTCAGGCTCACCAAATGGCGATGCTGCTGTCGCTGTTCTTGCTGCTGTCACTGTTGCTGACACTGCAAAGTTGTTGCTTGTTGCTGCTGCTGCTCAGCTGTCGCTGTTGTAAAGTTGCTGCTGTTGTAAAATTGCTGCTGTTGCAAAGTTGCTGCTGTTGCAAAGTCGCTGCTGTTGCACAGTTGCTGCAAAGCAGCTTTACAACCTACTGAATACAGCGGAGGCCAATCAGGTAAACGCTGTTGCGCATGAACTCATAATTTTGCGACCTGAGTGTCACCTCACCTGGTGCTTTCGCGCAATTCAGCATGAAAACTATGGGCCGCTATTCGCGTCGCCCTTGATCGCAGAAACGCCAAGGTCTTCTCAGCAGTCTCTGCATGGTATGCACAGATATACGTGGAGATCTAAAATCACGTCACTCAGGCCGCCAGGTTCGGTTTAACCTCGCCCCTTCATCTTCAAGCTGAGGATCTGCATCTGATAGTCCTCAGTAATCTCCTGACGAAACAGCTTGCACGACTTCTAGGAGAGTCGATTTCTACGGCACGTCCAAGGCCTTCAAGTGCTTCTGGAGCTGCTTTAACTGCTCCTCGGCTACGGTTGCCCGCACCAGAAGCGCTGACCTGCGCAGGGCGGGATCGCCTCATGGAAAACTGACCGGATATCGGGATTGTCGACGAACTCCCAGGCCTTTCAGCCTCAAGATCGCGCACGCTTTTCTCAAGGAAAGCCAAACGCTGCGCCTGAACGGCCGATGTGTTGTGAGGGGTGCTCTCTGCTCTTCGCATACGCACGTGACCCTGAGCTTGCAGAATTCAGCGCCTGCACTCGCCTTTCAGCAGGACTTTTCTGCTCGAGGAGGGTGACCCGAGCCTCTCTCTGGCAGCAACAACAACATATCCATTTCTGGCTCTGCAAATCGCATCACTCTCCTCCCTCCCCCTGCCCCTCACCTGCAAGGCTCGATTTTGCTCTTGAAGGTCCGCCTGGCGGGCGACGACATGGGACGCAAGCTCATAATTTTTCACACTCTCAACATGCCAGCGACATTTGCCGATGCATTCACGGCAAAGCTGTTGGCATTTCGTAGCGCCTGAACCTGCCAAGAATGACCCGGCACTCTTTCATCTGACCCGGAACTCCCGTCAGCCTCTTCAATAAGCCGGTCTTGGATCCTGGCCCAAGCCAGGAACTCTCAACACCACAACAAGGTGATGCAGTTTGAATACAAATGCTGGGTGCAGCAAAATTCAGCACCTGTCACGGCTCATGGAGACACAGAAGAACGGATTTTCCTCTGAGATATTCCCGTGGCTGTCCTGTCTCCAAGCCCGCGAATGAAGAACCCACAGGTACCCTTCAAGAGGTGCAACGGCGTCTTTGCGCAGCTTGATCTTACGCCCGGGTCCTTCTGAAGCAACCGGACTGATCCCAAACTCAAGACTCAACAAGAGACCCTTGTGGCTCAAGTTCTCACACTGTCACATGCCAGCACGACTGTGTGAGTCGCCCGGGCTCCAGGGCTCCCTGAGTGTCGGGCCTTGGCCCAGACAAAGATTGCGCGCAACTCCAACTCACGACTCGGAGAGCCGAGTGGCGGCGTCGCCGGCCAACTGCCGGAGCCTCCGAAAGGCCAGCAAGTTGTCAAACTGTTTATTCTAGCATCGTCTTGTTCTTCAATCAGAGCCCAGACTGAAGCGACAGCTGCAGCTTGCACAAGCGAAGCACGCAAGTCAAACCACCTTGGGGGAGTGCCAAGACGGAATGTAAACTGGCACACCCTAAAAGCCAAGGAAACGGAAAAGATTGATTTACTGTTGCCTTGTGCGCTTTGGGTATGCTGCCGAAACGCCTTCCTGCAAACACATGGTCTCACTCCGACATGCTCTAGTCCGAAAGTGAGAAAATGCCGAACTGCGGTGCTGAAACCTTGCACGCTGAATTATATGAGAAACAGCAAACCCGTTAACCCAAAACCGGAATGACCTGACGCCACAAGGGACAATCCCGAACACTATCAAAACAAATGGAGCCAGCAATGTCGACGCTCCAACAGTGAACGCGACACGGCTAACCTTAGACCACCCCGAACGGAGGCGACATCCTGAGCGCTGACAATTTCCTTTCTCTGACTGGGAAGAGGTTTGTTAATCAGGGGTCTACTTTATGATGAACAGGGAGATACACAGACTATGAACACTGAAGGGAGTGAGAATTGTGAGCCTAAGTGAAGCTCAAAAGGAATCACGCGAGAGGCAGTTCAGGTCCCTAAGCGGAATGACAACGGCAATCCCTCCACCATTCAAAATGACTGACTGAGGTGTAGCAAATCCAACAAAGCGACCCAAATGCTGAAGGGAGTGTGAACCCCGGAAATGTCGCGAACATGGTGGCATCACACCCCGGACCCAACAATAGATGACACGTCACGAGTCGAACAGAGCGACAGACGGGGAAGAACAAAGCTTGGACCCCGCTCAACCCTGAAGAGCATTGGAGGAGACAACCCGCTTGACAGGAGCAAACACCTAATACAATGACCTGGGGGAACGACAAACCATGGACATCAAAGCAAAATGAGGTGCCGACCAAGGAGGTGTACCCCTCAATTTCATAACCTTGAAAAACCCGAAACGCAGGCGGCATGCCACACTCGGGCGCGACAAGCTAGGCCCGGAAGGGATGGCAATTCGAACCCTGAATGCTCGAGGGTGTGGGCTGCGAAGCAGTGACATCACACCCGGAACCGAAAAAAGACGACGTGACGAAACGGGCTAAGAGATTGGTGAGAAAATCAAACCCTGGACTCCGTTCTATAGTTGTAGGAAACCACTCCACACACGCACTGTTGTATACCCGTCCAAGTGTTGAGGTAGAACGCAGTTATACCATTGGGTATCTACTCTTTTTCCCCTCAGAGCACTTGTGCCACAATGTCACACACACACAACATGATACTTCACACGTGCACAAATTACACCCCCCTCGCCGAAGCGTCAGTCTGAGGCGCAAACATGCACGGAAGCTTGGTGCTGTGTGGCCTGCCACCAAGGCGGCTGGATTGTGGCTTGGGGCTCATAGAGATTCTACTACCGTAAAGCGAAAGATACGGAAGCAGATTAATTCCTTTAGCGCGCAGTTCAAAGTCGCGACATGCATAATAAAGTGGCGGCGATCCAGCAAGCCTTGATTGGTGGCGTGGATACGAGCCGCGAAGACGTGTGCAGCATGGGACGAATACATCATCCACTGGAGCTGCTGGCTGTTCGGATTTGTCACAAAGTGACTGCCAGGAAATGAAGCATGAAATTTTTCTGGTCTTAAGGAAATTCGGCCACCTCTAGGAGGGGCTGTATTTCGGAGTACCGGTTAACGGGTACTTAGTACCATCCTCGGGAACCGGAGGAGCGACCATAGGGATGGGACCCGCGTTGATAGCCTTGGTCCCAATCCTGCTGATAGCGCTGCTGCTCCGCCCTGCGTGCATCAGCCTTGGCCTGGGCGATGCGAGAACGCTCTGCATTGCGCTGGCGTTCTTCATATGCACGACGTGCAATTCCGACCTGTACCGCGAATTTCCCACGGAGCCTCTCAGTCCACTCTTCGGCAGTGTAGCCAAGACGTGGATCGATGTAGAGTGCCTCTTCTGAGAAGGTGACCCTCATTCGCACAATTTTGTGCTGGAGGAAAACATCTACGAACCTACGCAGACTGTATGCCCCTCCCAGCCACATGATGCAAAATGGAACGTCACTCACAGCGGAAATCAGGCCTGCCCTAAGGGCGGCTGGATTGCACTCGTGCAAGTAGAGCAACCGAGCGATCTCCTGGTTCCGAGGTCCTTCGGAGCTTCCGCCGTAGGTGCCGACAGCAAGCTGTCGTTGCTCCTTTGATCGCCCATGTTTCGGCAGCGCAGCATGTGTGAGGACATCCTCGATGGCAAGAAACTCCCGGTCGTACCCATTGCCGATGGAACTCATTGTGTAGTCCACGTCATTGTCGAACCGGTGGACGATACTATTGTACCCTCCTTTCGTTGCCATTTTCAGCTGCTGCCGAGCCTTGTCTAAGGCCTCTGCGTCTAAGGAAGTAGTTCCCCGCTGCGTGGTAGCGTCTCTGGTCATCTCGCCAATGACCTCCTCCGGCGTCAGCTGGGAACGTGGCTTTCCTGCAGATGCAGCAGCGGCCTCTTCGGCGAACCAGCGGGCTGTTCGCACCTTCTTGCGTGCGCTTTGCTGAGAAGGTTTTACAATGTGTACGCCACAGCTGAGGCAGATCATCTGCCCCACGAGATGCTGTGCCGCGCAGTGGGGACACGCTCTGTGGCGGCCACCCGTAACGGGGGCTGGAGGGAGCGCCGATGGTGTCGACTCCGGTTGCGGCGGTGCCTGCTCGTACATCGGCTCGACTTTGGCCTCTTCCTCCTCCTTTTTCACATCACCTTCATCTGGTTCAATCTCGATGTCGACCTCGACAGGTTCCTCAGGCTCAAGGAAACGCACTCGCTTACGGGACTCAGTTGGTGCATCTGGTGGCGATGCGCCCCCCTGATCCAGAGTTGTGGTTTCCTCCGGAAGCAAGTCGGAGGCCGTGGCATCGTTGAGGGCAAGAGGTGCTGATGCTGATGGTGCAACCTCAATCTCAACTTCAACCATAGGCTCGTCTGCGGGTGCAGACGGGGTCGATACTTCTTCTTGGCCTCCACTAAGTGGGGCTGTAGGTTCCTCCGGAACATCGGGGAACTGTTCCTGGATCTCTGCACCCGGGTCCACAATGGGAACTGGGGCAGTTTCAGGAATGATTGTATCCTCCTCCTCGCTGGATTGGCGGGACCACAGGATAACGCCCTTAGCGGTGTCGCGGACATACAAAATGCATGAGCCCGGCACCACATCGCGGGTGAGGATACCCTCAGAGGTCGTCTCGAAGAGGTATGCGTGGCGATTGACCTCTTGTGTGTCAAGCACGATCTCGTAGGGCAGACTTGCACGGCTGCCTGCTCTGTTATCCAGTTCACTGAGGGTAGCTTTGGCAAAGTAATTGTGAAATTTGCCACTCTTGCCATACCCAGGCGTAAAGCCGGAACGAAGGATGTTGAAGGCAGCGTCGTGCGTCGTCCTGTGGTAGAGATGCGGGGGGAATTCCCCAAGAGCTAAGAATGGCCTGCCTTCATAGGCGGCTGTAGGTCCCAGCTCTTCTCGCGTGTCGTTTGTAAACCAATGCAGCGCGATGGAGGCGTCGGTGACTTGGTCCTTGATGCGTTCGCTGTGGCCGTGCGACGCACTTATCCAGGATGGCCAAATGTCAGTCTCGACGTAGTCAGCACGGGGATCCGTGGAAAGGCCTGCCAAGTTGAGCCTTGACTTATTGTCGTAGGCCACCAAAGACAAAATGCCCCGTGTTCCCAGGTCCACGCCGTGCTTCTTCCACATATGCTGAATGAGGTCCTGTATGCGGACCCATTTTCCGCGCCGTGAGCTGAGCTTCGCATTCGATCCTCGGACAGCACCAGTGAGATACCTCTCAATGTAGGGTTTGAGGTTCATCTCAGGTAGGTGGTCCTTCGGAATCGACTCGGGGAGGATGTGAACCATCTCGTCCCCTTCCGGATCCTCTGGGCACACGTCCTCGTCGACAAAACCACACATTTCATGAGGTCCAGGTCGTCTTGGAACTTCAACCCGATGTAATCGTGCTGGCGAGCTTTGAAAAAGCCGCTGGAGGAATCCCGGTCCTTCTTGGTCATACCCTCGCGGGCCGCGGACAAGGTCCCGTGGGCCTCTGTGCGGTAAGGGATGGCCTCGATGACGTCGTCAAAGGATACCTCCGGTACATCGCGGGATGATGCGCTTCCAGAAAGGCCACCACTAAGTGGGGCTGGATCCGTACGCTCAGCAGGGGCACGCGCTTCTGCTTGCTCCTTTGCGTGCTTTTGTGCCTGTTCACGAGCAGCGGCCCATTCCCAGTTCAGAACATCCTTAGGAACCTCGCGCATCCCAGTAACAGGAAGGTCAGGCGGGGGAACATAAGGAGATTCCCATGGATCAGGGCATTCATTAGCTGCTTCGCGAATCTCGGCCTGCCTTAAAAGGTGGCGGGAGAGCTGCGACCGAAACAATGCCGTGTCGAAGACATACTGCATGGAATACACCCGGGTTCCGTCTGGGTCGAACGGGAACCTGCGGGCCAGCTCCTCCAACGTCTCTGCTGGCAACTTTGCGAACAAGTGGTCTGCTTGGCAGACTTTGATTCGCTGGCCGATCACAGAGGCCAAGGCAGCACGGTGAGTTGAGTCTTCGCGAAAATGATAATGATCATGTTTCGGAATCTGACTTACAGACTCACAGAGCGAGGCGGTGTACAAGCCTCTGCTTCTCGCATACCCGAGAAACTTTCTGATCGCTGTGTAGAGTCGGAAACAATGATACAGGCTTTCTCTCGGCCACGGCTATCGCCGGGCTGGAAACGCGACAACCCCTCATCGTTGACCTGCGCAATCTTGGGAAGGGCCTTATAGCCGTGATCCACATCGCCTATAGGCAGGTCGACAAAGCGGTTTGCGCGATTGAGCCTGAATAGAGCTGTTTCACGCTCTCTTCCCAGTCTCGGCCTGGGTTAAGTCC